AGAAATATTAGATTAAAGGATATGCATACTTTTAGATATTTTCAGGGGGGAAGGGATTTAGGTGAAGAAAAATATATTTTTTTAACTTTAAATATGCTTATTAGTCCACTTTTTAATTGGCTCATCTGCCTGTTATTGTGTTAAAATGTTCTATTTCTTAATTAACTTGTATGAAGTTAACTTTTATTCTTTTTGTTGTTGTTTTTTTAATAGGCTGTAGACCAGTCAGTTTCTGCCTGTTGGGCTCTAAGTTATAAATAAATGTTTCCTATTCATATTCTTAGGGTTTGATTATTTTGTCAATTACTTTTATCAGTTTATAAAAATGTTTTTAAATGTATTATTACATAATAGTGTTGTGTTGTTAGTTGTAGAAATTTTAGAAATTTATGTAACCCAGAGAAAGTTAAAACCTAATTCTGTTCTTAAATAGTCAACATTAAGGCAGAAATTTTTTAGACTTTGCTATTTTGAAATGAAACTAGCATTATACAGTGCATACCAATCTGGAACTGTTAATGTTATGAATATCTTTCCATATTAGTTCCTACACCTACTTTTTTTTTTTTTTTTTAAGATGACCAGTAAGGGAATCTTAACCCTTGACTTGGTGGTATCAGCACCATGCTCTCCCAAGTGAGCCACCAGCCAGCGCCATATACCTACCTCCATTAATTTAAGTGGCTGCAATAGTATTCTGCCATGTGAATCGTGATACTGCTGGCCCCCCACTCCCATGATATATATTGGGAAAAGTAAAAAAAAAATTCCTGGCCAGTTGTTGAATTTAACAAATCTATGTTTTCCCCTTAATTGGCACATGTTTAACAGGATTTGTACAGAAGATTTTTCCCCCTCTGGTAAGATGTCCCCTCTTGCTACCAACAGCATGTATATATGAGGGGACCAATTGTAAGTGAAGCCATTTATGCTGTGCTTGCCCGTGCTCCAAGGTAATACAGAACAACCAGAAAAACCTAGCTGAGTTTAATTGCTTCGCTAGTGTTCAGCACGACAGTTACTTTGTCTCATACATGATTAAAAACAGACATTAATTTTGTTAGTGTATGATACTGATGTTGTGGTTTTAAGTCCTTATTTAAGAGGTAAGTATTGAAGTATTTGTGGATTAATGGATATGGTTGGGTTTTGCTTTGAAGTAAGTTGGGACAAGGATGGAAGTTATAAAACATGAAATACTAAACATGAGTTAACTGCTGAATCTAGATTGATAGGAATTTACGGTACTGTGTTTATACAGACTTAATATTTTTTATACTAAAAAGTGAAACAAAATTTTTATGTTAGGCAACCTCAGTGATCATTTGTTCAGGAAATAAGAGGTATTGTCACAGTGGAATGACCTACAAGCACAGGTTTTCTTAACATGAGTTGTGTTTAGAGATGTTGTCCAAGCCCTAACTGAACTAAAATATGTGGAGCAGAGATAGGAGGGGGAGGGAGTCTCAGTAAAAAAATGTTGGCCCTTTAAAATTGTTTTATTCGAAAATACTCTTCTCCCTGTACTTTCAGCATTGACCACATGTGCTTAGGGAGTACCCAACACTAATTATCCTTCTATACAGGGACCAAACTTGTTCTTAAACAAAATGATTTATGGGTTTTTAAGGGTTTTTTAGTTGGTTTATGTGTAGGGTTTTTTGTTTTGTTTTGCTTTTTTTTTTAAGATGACTGGTAAGAGGATCTTAACCCTTGACTTGGTGTTGTCAGCACCACGCTCTCCCAAGTGAGCGAACCGGCCATCCCTATATAAGGATCCGAACCCGTGGCCTTGGTGTTATCAGCACCGCACTCTCCCAAGTGAGCCACGGGCCGGCACTTGTGTAGGTTTTCTATATATAAATACTAGTACTGTAATGAGAGAAGAAGCTCTTGATTTGCACTGCTATTGGACTTAACAGAAATTAGTTGATATAGGTTCTTATAAATGAAATAGTTACCATTGATTAGTTTGCCAGTCACTGATTTGGTGCCAGGATAGATGTTTTTATTTAATCCTGTCAACAGCCTAACGAGGTAGGGGTCTCTGTGGGAAAGTTGAGACTTAGGAAGGTTATGCAACTTGCTTCCCCAGGGTAATTCAGTCAGTAAATAGCAGCTCTGAGATTTGAAGTCTGGTCTGTTTACCACTACAGTTTGTGTTCTCCGCTGTGATAGATTTCTTTAATAGCATATTGCACTGAACTAATTAAGTGGGCTTTCTTAGTCATTTCTGTGATATTTAGCATCCACAAAGGCTTTAACATTTTACTTTTCATACACAAACAAATCTGTGTGTCTTGGTAGACTTTGTGATTCTGACCTTAGTTGGGTATTCAGTAGGAGTATAAAATTAATCTTTCAGGCATGAAAGATGGCCAGAAGATAACATTCCATGGTGAAGGAGACCAAGAACCAGGACTGNAACATCCCTAGACAAAATTTTGCCCTCAGTCAGTTAAACAGATAAAAGTAAGTGCCCTAAAACTTTCACCAGTTTTCAGTCCTGAATTCATGATGAATTGAGTTACTTTTTTTTCTTTTTATAAAAGATGACCAGTAAGGGGATCTTAACCCTTGACTTGGTGTTGTCAGCACCACGCTCTCCCAAGTGAGCCAACCGGCCATCCGTATATGGGATCCGAACCTGTTGTCTTGGTGTTATCAGCACCACATTATCCCAAGTGAGCCACAGGCTGGCCCTTAAATTGAGTTACTTTTAATTGTAAATATCCAAAACCATCTCTTTATGAAACTAAACTTAGGACTCAATATTTAAGTATATATAAATTCAGGTCTACTGCTATGAAATGTTTAATACTGAGTTTATGGTGAATTTATACTGAAGCACAAGAAAAATTGGTGGTTAACAGTGAATGTTTGTGTTAAATATATCCATAGCTAATTTCAAAACGTAATGGAGTAGATATAGGTTGGGGACAAAACCTTGGAGGAACTGGCTTAGAATTAATTATAAAGGAATATTTCACAAGTGCTTGAAAAATAATGGGAACTGCTGTCAAGCTTAGGATTTTTATGCTATCATTTGAGGTGAATCTGCAAGAGTTTTTCCCAGGGAATATTTGTCTGATTAAAGATGTATTATTAATATGGATTGGTAAAAAGGAAAGTCTAAGCATGAGGAGGAGGAAGTGGGCTGTTATTAAATAGAAAATTTGATTTATTCCATCATTTCTTACTATGTTAACATTTATTTTTTTATTTTTTATTTTTTTAAAAGATGACCGGTAAGGGGATCTCAACCCTTGGCTTGGTGTTGTCAGCACCACGCTCAGCCAGTGAGCAAACCGGCCATCCCTATATAGGATCCGAACCCGTGGCCTTGGTGTTATCAGCACCGCACTCTACCAAGTGAGCCACGGGCCGGCCCTGGCACTGCCTTTTTTCATTCCAAAAAATTCTTGCTGTCTCTTGAAATTGGTCATATCCTCACTATTTAATTTAATAGAGCCTAAATAGTCCATGACCCAGCACAAGCCTGTTAAATTTACACCATAACATCCGCTATCCCTAACATGTTCGCTTTCTTTAAGCCTCTTGTCAGAATTATTTTCTTCATCCTCTGAGAAACCAGATTGAAGATGAGGTAATTTGGGGGATAGTAAGGGTAGTAAGGGGTAGAAACTGCCAAGAGTGTGTAGAAGGATTTCAGAGGGAAAGGATTCTTGACCTTTGAAACCTGACTGGCAGGTTCCAAATATTTACTGTTTCCAGTTTTCAGCTCTGTTAGATTTTTAGAATGGGGGAAGAAAGGACATCTTTGTGAAAGACACAGTTGCTGTTGTGAAAGAAGAAAACAGTTGTCTGTTGTGGTACTTCTAATCATGGGTGATTTGAAAAAAGTAAATATACGCCATATTTGCATTGATACAGACGAGGAGAAGACCTTTTCATGTGTATGGACATACAGCTGGTTGAAGCATTGTGTGGCTTCCAAAAGCCAATATCCACTCTTGACAACCGAACCATAGTCATCACCTCTCATCCAGGTATGGTAACTAGATGATCTCTTTTTATTCTAATGTTTTCCCCTATCTCCTGATAACTAAGTAGTATAGGCACTAAAAGAAAACAGGTGTTTTTCTTCCTTGGTAATATATCCTTCTCTGGGCTGAAATGAAGTCTTAAGATCTTGGTTCTTTTTTGGCAGCTCCTGGAAAACCCACCCTGAAAGGTAACAGGACTGTTTCACCACATAAATTTCCTCCTGTCAGTGAGCTGGGACATTTCTCTGTTCTTAGTTTCCTCCCCACCCCTACCCCCCACCCCCACTGCCTCATAAAAATGTAACCATACTTAAGCAGGAACTTCGTTTCGATGTTTTTAGGTCAGATTGTCAAACATGGAGATATTAAGTGCGTGCTAAATGAAGGCATGCCAATTTATCGTAGACCATATGAGAAGGGTCGCCTAATCATCGAATTTAAGGTAAGCTATAAAGTACTCAAGAATATTTGTGAATGATTAGTTTACCAGGAACTGATAGAATTACATTTTCTGCATGCTGAGCATTCTCAAATTTCTATTCCCTCTTGTCCAGGAAGAAATAACATTGATCTGATCTATAGTTGTGTTGAGCTTTCCTTGTTAACAAATTGGGTTTGGGTTTATTTGCTTCATTAACTGGCTATTTAAAGATGGACTGGGGCTTGGCAAAATACTGTAAAGCTGGGCCGGCCCGGTGGCGCACTGGAGAGTGCGCCGCTTGGGAGCGCGGAGGCACTCCCGCCGAGGGTTCAGATCCCATGTGGAGACCGGTTCCCGCTCACTGGCTGAGCGCGGTGTGGGTGCAACACCGAGGGTTGCAATCCCGTTGCTGGTCCCTGGTACGGGTACGACACCGAGGGTTGCGATCCCGTTACCGGTCAGTAAAAAAGACAAAAAGGAAAAAAAAAATACTGTAAAGCTTGGTTTGTTAATAGTATGATTCATAAAGCATCCCAACCATTTTCCTCAGTCTCTTTTTTTTTTTAAGATGACAGGTAAGGGGATCTCAACCCTTGGGTTGGTGTTGTGAGCACCACGCTCAGCCAGTGAGCTAACCGGCCATCCCTATATGGGATCCGAACCCATGGCCTTGGTGTTATCAGCACCGCACTCTCCCGAGTGAGCCACGGGCCGGCCCTTTCCTCGGTCTTAAATTGTCCTCTCACCCACAAATACAATAATTAAAATGTCTTTGGGTAAGAGACTACCTTTTGAATAAGAATAGCTTTGTTTGAATTACTTCTTAAAAAGGATTAGACTTGTTCAGGATGGTTTCTTGTATTAAAAAGCCAAAAAAAAAAAAAAAAAGTTGGGCTGGCCGCTTTTCTCATTTAGTTAGAGCATGGTACTGATAACACCAAGGTCAAGGGTTTGGATCCCTACACTGGCCAGCCACAAAAATAAGTAGTTGCTGAATAGAACAATAGTTGTTAAAGTACATCTTTACTACTAGGACTGTTGTTTTTAAAAGACCTTAGCTTTGTCATAATCCTTAAACTCTAGTTCAGAGTGCTAGATAAGATACTGTGCACGTTAGAACATGGATTCTAACCTGGGATTGGTAGAAGCACCTAAAGATTATATGTGGTTACCTGTGTTTTTCTGGAGAAAATAAGTGCATGATAATTTGTCCAAGCAGCTAATGATGAAGTCAAATTGAACTTATAGTGGAAACTTGTTTTTTATAGGTAAACTTTCCTGAGAATGGCTTTCTCTCTCCTGATAAACTCTCTTTGCTGGAAAAACTTCTACCTGAAAGGAAGGAAGTAGAAGAGACTGATGAAATGGATCAGGTAGAACTGGTGGACTTTGATCCAAATCAGGAAAGACGGCGCCATTACAATGGAGAAGCTTATGAGGATGATGAACATCATCCCAGAGGTGGCGTTCAGTGTCAGACCTCTTAAATGGGGCCAGTGAATAACACTCACCGCTGGCATTTTATATGCAGTAGTGAATGAGTGAAGGACTACAATCATAATATGCTCACTACTTGCTATTGTTTTTGTTTTAATACTCAACTATAGTAGTGTTTTAAAAGTTAAATGAAGAATAAATGCAAATATAAAAGCTCTGACTTTGCCCTGTATGTATGACTTCAGTGTGCAAGATGAAGTTTAATACTTGTGAAAAATACTTTTTAAGAACTAGCATCTGTTTGGCCACACCTTGTAGTTGGTTTCAGCTGTGTACGTGGACGAGCTTAGACTGAAGTGCTAGGGATATCTATATTGAATTGATGTATGACCCTTCATTGTTAAGCTGCGAAATTAAAACTCTGTATTTAACTGGCAATCAAAAAAAAAATTTGTAGAAAATTGTTGGTCTG